AGAGTGAACGCCATGTTTGAATTGACAACAGCTATGCTTTTTTTTCCTAAGAATGAAATCGATTCTTTGTCACCGTCCCCAGAGATCCTCTTACCTGGCCATTCTATCTCTGCCAGAAGTTCAACCGGTCAGAAGCCTGATGCTTTCATGGTGTTGACAAGGTGGTTTTCGGTAGAGGGAGCTGTGGCGTGGAGTGTTGTGCTGGGTGAAGAACCTTTCTTCCCAGCTCTCTTCTATGACCAGCGAGTCATAGTGATGAGCTGCAGCATCTATTGCAAATCATGCTGGCAGGAGTCAGGATGGGGGCAAGGCGTTGAGCATGTAGCTGGGGTCGTATTGCAGTCCCCTCACGGATGTTCACAATGGCACCTTTGTTCTCTAAGATGTTCACTCTCTGTATCTGCCAGTGCTCACGTGTAGGTAAACTGGGCTTTGATAAAGAAAAATGAGGCAGCGGAAGTGGGCCAACTTTGTGTTTTGTCTTGTTTACTCCATTATTATGACAGTTTAATTACAATGAGAAATAATGCGGCCCAATAATGAGCAGGCGAAAATGCCTGATAGACAGAATAGTTCTAGGGGACGCAATGAATGAAATATGCATTGAAAAGTTGAAGATGATTGATTTCTAAATAAAGCATTCTCAGTGTTTTGTTTCATTTATCATTTGGAAGTTAATGAATACATTTTTCTTATTAATTATACATTGTGTGTTTCTACTAAGTGATTATTTCATACTTTATTAATATTTCTTTAAAAGTCTTTTTTAAAACTTTTCCAACATGTTTTTAATGAGCCATGCAATATTTAGAAGATGATAGTTTCATAGAGTTACCAGGGATTCAGGATAACCCTCACTAACTCCTTTCCCTATTTGTAACATCTTACAAAGTCACAGTGAACTGCCATGGCCAACATATTAATAGTGACGATAGCATTGGTATCACTTGAGGGGCTTTTGGGTGAAGGGCAAGAAGAACAATAGTTATGTTTCATACATTGGTTATTTATTTTTCTATATTCATTTATCTTTAGCTAATTAATTAGTGTGTGTGTGTGTGTGTGTGTGTGTGTGTGTGTGTGTGTGTGTGTGTAATGCTGTGTAGGTTCAGGTGTCCACGGAGGCTGAAATAGAGCACGAATCCCCTGGAACTGGAAACACAGGCAGTGACTGTGAGCCCGAGTGGGTGCTGGGAGCTGACCTCAGGACGTTTGCAAGGATAGTATGCCATGCTCTTCACAGCTGAGACATCGCTCCAGCTTCTTGTTTATTTTTAAGAAACTGACCAACTGTTTTCCAAAGTGACTGCACCAGCTCACACTCTGACTGGAAACGTGTGAGTTTTCTCTGTCTTTTATCAAGCCTTTATCTAGTCTTTGCATCAGTTTTTTTTTTTTCTTCAGCCCTTCTGATAGCTGTGTGGTTATGTTTTCCTGTTTTACAAACCCATTTTTCTAGTGACTCAAGGTTGCCTAGTAACTTCTCATGGACTTCCTGTCTTCTAGGCAATGTTATCTGTGATGCCTAATCTTACCCATCAACCCAGACAAACCCAGGACAAGCAATTGCCACCTTCCCATTGAATTGTGGTCACGTCTTTGGGGCATTCTTGATTGCCAATTGATATAGGCAGGTGTAACCCACTGTAGGAAGCATTGCTCTTGGGGAGGTGAGCCTGGGCTGTTTAGCAAAGGTAGCTGAAAATGAGCCTGGAAGCTGGTAAGCCATGTTCCTCCATAGTCTCTGCCTCAGTTCCTGTCTTCCGGTTCCTGCTTCAGCACTTGGCCTGGCTTCCCCTTATGGTAGACTGTGACCTCTAAGCTACAGACACCCTTCTTTGTCTGAATTGTTTTTGGTGATGGTTTTATCACAGCAACTGGGACATTATTCCCCACGGATTTCCAATTTCCTAATTGCTTTGCTTGCTTTTCATTGTTGAGTCTATTATGTATTCTAAATAATTTAGCTTGTCCTGATAATTAACTCACAAATATCTTCTCTCAGGCTGCAGAATGTCTTTGAATCCCCTTAATAGGGTCTTTCACGGCGAAAAGTTTCTCAAGTTTCTTTGAAATCTCATTTCTTACCTTTCCCTCTGCTGGGTGATAAATGTGGTGTAAAACCTTGCCCTGTTTTAAATAAAAGTTGTCTAATTTTCTATTTTAGTTTTCTTCTTGTGGATCCTGATATTAAAGAAGTGTTATCTGGGCCTAGGGCAACTTTTTTTTTTTTTTTTTTGACAGACCCACTTGTTGAATTTTGCATGGACTGATTTCGAACCTTTGAAAAGTAGAAGTCAGAAGCATTATTCATGGTGGTCTTTGTCATGTTTCCTGGTTTGGTCCGCTGGTCATGGGTTAGCCCTTTTCCATGGACCTGTGCCAGAGAACATTCGCTTACTTAGCTGTAAAACAAGCCCTGAGAAGCCAATGGCCCATGTCACGGGCTTCCCTTGTTTCTTAACCACGTTTCATTTGGATTGATTCTGTTTCTGTTTACCAAAGCATTGCTGGGACTGGGCCATTGGTTTTTGTGCTCTTATCATGAAAATATGTTACCTTTTTATCAAAGGCATTTTCTGCATCTTTTGGGATGATTATGTGATTTCTTTTGTCTTTAGGATCATTTTTGTGAATTTATTATGTTTATTGATTTACATATGTTAAACCATCTGTGCATCTCCATGATAAAGCCAACTTGATCATGGAAAATGATCTTTTAGACATACACCCCCATATTCAGTGTTCAAGTATTTGTTAAGGATTTTACATCTTTCTAGACTGGCAATATTGGCCTATGATTTTAAACTTTACCTGGATTTTGTATTATTGTAATGCTAGAATGAGATTGTAAGTTTTTCTTTTGAGCAGCCCTAATAAAAATCTTAAAAAGAGACAATGGGGATGTTCTATCGGGAACTCACCAAGGCCAACTGGCCTGGGTCTGAAAAAGCCTGTGTTAAAACCAGTCTCGCTGAACATAGTGGACAATGAGGACTACTGAGACCTCAAGAACAATGGCAATGGGTTTTTGATCCTACTGTACATATTGGTTTCGTGGAAGCCTAGGCAGATTCGTGGATGTTCACCTTACTAGACCTGGATGGAGGTGGGTGGTCCTTGGACTTCCCACAGGGCAGGGAACCCTGATTGCTCTTTGGGCTGACGAGGGAGGGGGACTTG